AGGTTTGTCATTTGACAAATCCAACATCATACTTTTCTCCATAACTTATGAATTAAATAGACGCAAATAAAAAAACAGATGGAAAACAAAACAGTAAAGATACAGATTTGAGCACCATAATAACTTACCGGACAGATTTACAATCTTCCTCTTAATAATTGGAGAATACACATGCCTTTCTAGTACACATGGAACATTTAAAGAAACTTGGTCAATACTAGGCTATAAAGCAAGCCTCAACATTAAAATTTAAGAAAATTCGTATACAGACTATAATATCAGATCTTCATGCAATTAAATTAGAGTGAATAGAGAATCAACTTACTCTCTTCTAGACTTTTCCACTTCCTTCTTAGAAGGTAAAGTACAGCCATCAAAAATGAGAACAGGCTTGATCCCATGAGAGAGTAACATATTTACAAATTTCATACAAAATCCTACATACCTATGAAAATACAGAAACATGCATTAAGGTGTGTGGCATCTTGTAAGGTAATAACTCTCACTCTTTTTTAAAACCAGGTAAGAGGGATCCCTGGGTGGCGCAGGGGTTTGGTGCCTGCCTTTGGCCCAGGGCGCGATCCTGGAGACCCGGGATCGAATCCCACGTTGGGCTCCCGGTGCATGGAGCCTGCTTCTCCTTCTGCCTGTGTCTCTGCCTCTCTCTCTCTCTCTCTCTCTCTCTCTCGTGTGACTATCATAAATAAAAAATTAAAAAAAAAAAAACCAGGTAAGACAGATTATGAAAAGAGAAGGTTTTTACCATGTAAAAAATAGGAGAAAGCAAATATAAAATCATAATAAATCTTACAGTAAATTCACATATTTTTTAACCTGACAGAACACAAACATCAGACACCTGAAGCACAAATCTTTTCAGGTCAGCATATTAGATCTTGAGCCTTACAATGGTCATAAAGGCTTATCATAACACTTTTCCAAATTTTCTGACCTTTTCTGATTAATAACCCCACCCAAAGGAGGATAAGAAAAGAAAAATAAACTCTATCAAATGTGACTTTTTAGTTGCTGTGAGGAAAAAAAAAATTCAAGTCCATAATATGTCTCTGAAAGTTCTGAAACTTTTTAGTTCAATAAATTACTACATGGCAGGTCTGTGGAGTTCATCACTGACATCTCTAATAAAGGATATTTTCTGTATTATTTTTAAAGATTTTATTTACTTATTCATGAGAGACACAGAGAGAGAGAGAGAGAGAGAGAGAGAGAGAGAGAGAGAGATGCAGAGTCACAGGCAGAGGGAGAAGCAGGCCCCATGCAGGGAGCTCAACATGGGACTCGATCATGCCCAGGTCTCCAGGATCATGCCCTGGGCTGAAGGCGGTGCTAAACCGCTGAGCCACCGGGGCTGCCCTATTTTCTGTATTTTGGACGACTCTTCCAATTAGTCGAAAATCTCAGAATCCTCAAGAATTACAAAAACTAGAGAAAGTTCTTCCCCTGTGAAGAACTATTCAAAGAAACATTGAAGATAGAATGAAAAACTTGTAGTCTTCAACTACAATTACAGCTCTTCAAATTCAGTGGCAGGAAAGAAATGGCCTTCAAAAAAAAAAAAAAAATCCCAGCAGATGGAGTGGTAGCAGTGTCCCAGTTCCTTCAGATCCCACACATACTATATTCGAGGTCACTTTTGATCACATTAACTTCATAAGCCTGAAAGCCCAAAACTTTCACCATTCGATACTCTCCCCCTTTCCTCCAGGAAACAAACAGCATTAACACATTTTACCCATTGTTCATTGTGATTAACCAAGTCATATCAAGATCCAGGTGTTTTTCCTCTAGGACATAAATTACATATTGCAAAAAAGAAAATTCATTAATGGCGATCAAGTCACTCTGGAAAATCTCCGTTCTGAAATTATACTTGTTTCTTTTTGTAATGTTTCCATGTAAAAAATAGAGAAGATATTAGTCCATTGAACACGTCTCTAATGAGGTTGCGGTTATGACTGGATATCAGCAAGGCCCACCACTCTGGGCCCCAAGTAAAGTAAACGGTAGTCAGAACACCTTGTCCCTTTGAAGCAACTGCTTTGTTCCACAAACAGGGCTCAGCAGTGTGTTGTCTGTACCCAAGAACGTGGGAGTCTAAAATGGATTTTCAGAACGCAGTTAAAAAGTTTTTTAGGTAAAGAATAAAGGACACAGTCTTTGGTTTTTGTCTCCTGGTGCCTTGATACTACATCACAGAATGAAGTCTTTTCCTGATTTGGCAGTGTTCTCAGTCTCGCTTCTTGGTAAACCTGGCATTGAATGAAAATGATCCCTTTCTGGAAAAAAAGGCAATACAAGTCTGATTCTCAGTTGGCAAAGAATTAATACAAGGTCCAAACTTACTTGTCAGTAGGTTCACCTCTGGCTAGTTTTTCAGCACAAGCAATAGCTCCTTTGTGAAGCCAGCAATATGTATCCACAGCTACTACCTGTCCTTTATACTTCCCCACGTGGATGGGCTCAGAAGCTTCTTTGATAAATTGCAGTAATCCATGTATTCCCATACTGCCAAGTTAACTATGTGATGTGAGAGGAGAAAGGAAAAACAATATTTAGGAACAAAATATATTTACCCAAAAGGTTTAGAAAAGTAAGAAACAGAGCTTGGAAATGGGTATAGCAACTGTTATTGCTTAGATATTTGAGAATCCTTGCTCTTTTAATACTTTAACCGGGCTCCTCCCTGCCAAGAATTCCCAGTCTGGAATATTTATGCTAATCACTAATTCTGCCACTTGCCAATTCCTTAACGTTTATTCTTTCCAAAGTGCTTTCCCACCTGGAACCATAATGTGTGTTCCAAGCCGTTAACACACTACTATGCACACAGGAAGTGCTAAAGGAACATGAATGTCTTAGCTCTCCAAGAAGGCACTGTTAGATCTACCCCCTTCCATCTAGGAAGAAGTCCCTAAGTTCCTTCTATACAGAAATTCTGAAGCTGGCTCAGACCTTTCTGAAGCAACTACAATGGACTCTTGAACAAGGGGGGGGGGGTTATTTGCTCTCACCCCCACCCAGTCGAATATCCACATATTTTTGACTCTCCCAAAACTTAACTACTAATAGCCTACTGCTGAGCAGAAGACTTACCAATTACATAAATTCAGTTAAGACATATTTTGTATATGTATTATATACTGTATTCTCAAAGTAAGCTAGAGAGAAGAAAACTTTATTAAGAGAACCACAAGGAAAATACATTCACAGTACTGTACTGCATTGATGGGGAAAAAAAAAAAATTCACCAAACAGTGAACTCTCACAGTTCTGATCCCAGTTGTTCAAGGGTCGGCTGTAGCACTCACCCCCACTCCTCAAGATAAAAGGGAAAAGCAATGGGGCCCAACCAATGGGGCCCAATGGGTATTTCATGATATAAACCTCTTCCAGCAGACGTTAAGTTTGGGGGGCACGGAAGAAAGAACAGGTCAGAAGTCAGCCTCACCTTGATTCGGTATCAAAGCCCTGAGCTCTGGGTCAGCGGTGCAGTCGCCAGTTGTGGAGCCCGGTGGAGGATTCTGATTCTTAAATACGGCAGGTAATTTGGATGCCCGCGTTACCCGAGCCACGGTTTGGGAATAACAATCAGCCTCCTACCTCTCGGACAACGCCTCTAAAGAGAGTCTTCTTCCCCTTTGAGGGAAACCGATGTAGCACACATTTAGGAAACGCGTATGTCTCTTCTAAGCTAAGTAAACGCGCCCGCATAGACGTCTCCTCTTCAGCGCAGAATGAGTGGGCCGGCGCCAGCGCGGGGCGGGCAGCATCTCAGTGCGCCCACTGGCCGCACGGGAGCTGCAAGCACACGCGCGGCCTCACCGCTGCGCTCCTGTCCCCGGCTGTGCACGGGTGGGCCGCAGGCCCGTTCCAGGAGACACGCTTTTTTCCCGCCTGCACATCAAGAAGAAAATTCACCGTCCTTCAAGACTCGGGAGGCTGCTGTGAAAGCCGGGCTGCCAGCCTGGGCGGGAGCCCGCGCACCGGCGACCCCTCCCCTGCACTCAGGCAGCCCCAGCCCGGCCTGCCGAGCGATCAGCACTCGGGACTCTGCGGCCGCGCGGCTCAGAGACGCGGCCCGACACCCTCCTCCCGGTCCCGGACGACCCGAGTCCCGAGAGGACGCCACCCTGGGCCCACACACAGCCCGCGCCGCTCCCTCCCCGGGAAGGGCTCTCCCCACCCGCCCCAGGGCAGGCGGCCGGGGGAAAGCTCCGAAACCTGCCCCCGACGCCCCCAACTCACCTGGCCCGCAGCACCCGAGGCAGAACACCGGGAGCCGGCGAGCTGCGCGCACCGAGGACTTTTTAATTTGCGCGGGAGCGCCTGAGGTCCCGCCCCAGCGGAAGTGACGCCAGAGCGCTCCTCGGCGACGCCGGCTCGGCTGCTCGCGGCCTCCGCTTCCGGACCTGGGCGCCGCTCCTCGCGGGACCCCCGGCTGCCGCGGCCTGCGACCCCTCCTGGCGGGCGGGGCGGGGCGGGGCGGGGTGGGGGGCCTGGCCTTCCGGACCTGCCAGCATACTGTGCGGCCTTCCGAAGGCGCGGGCGGACCTGGAGCAGCTGGCCCACCGGAAACGGTTCCCAGAAGTCGGTAGTTTCGCTCCCGCGGGGCCTGCTGGGAGTTGTAGTTCCCCGCCGATCGCGGCCTCAGGTCGGGGCTGCGGCGGCTTTAGGAGCGCCCTCGCGTGTTTGCGTGGGGTTTTTAACACCTGCTGCAAGTTCGTCCCTTAGTCACTGCGAGGGGCAGTTGACCCCAAGGCTGTTCCTCGCGGCGGGCTCAGGGAAATAGAAGAGGCGTCGAGTTATCTACTCTTGGGACCCGCCCTGTAGCCCTAGGGCGGGGAGAGAGGAGCGGTTGGTAATTGCGCTGGGAAGGGACAGCCGCTCCCGGACCGCATTCACCCCCAGGGCCGTGGGCCCTGCTCTTATGGGGCCTCATACTTGGCTTATAAACGCTTGAGCAAGACTAACGCAGTTTCTCACAGCTCAAGGCACATCCCCTTTAAAGTGCCGCCTGAGCAACCGCAGGGCTGCGACAATTTCCGGTGTGTTCCAGCCACCGTCCGATGGCAGGGGTCCGATGGCAGGAGGTCCGATGGCAGGGGTCCGATGGCAGGAGGTCCGATGGCAGGGGTCCGATGGCAGGGGGTCCGATGGCAGGGGCCCGATGGCAGAAGGTCCGATGGCAGGGGTCCGATGGCAGGAGGTCCGATGGCAGGGGTCCGATGGCAGGAGGTCCGATGGCAGGGGTCCGATGGCAGGGGTCCGATGGCAGGGGTCCGATGGCAGGGGTCCGATGGCAGGAGGTCCGATGGCAGGGGTCCGATGGCAGGGGTCCGATGGCAGGAGGTCCGATGGCAGGGGTCCGATGGCAGGAGGTCCGATGGCAGGGGTCCGATGGCAGGAGGTCCGATGGCAGGGGCCCGATGGCAGGAGGTCCGAGGGCTGGAGGTCCGATGGCAGGGGTCCGATGGCAGGAGGTTTGATGGCAGGGGTCCGATGGCAGGAGGTTTGATGGCAGGGGTCCGATGGCAGGAGGTCCGATGGCAGGGCGTCTGATGGCAGGGTTTCCAGATGTCAGGAGGTCCGATGGCAGGGGGTCCGATGGCAGGAGGTTTGATGGCAGGAGGTTTGATGGCAGGGGTCCGATGGCAGGGCGTCTGATGGCAGGGGTTCCAGATGTCAGGAGGTCCGATGGCAGGAAGTCCAATGACAGGGCGACTGATGGCAGGGGGTCCAATGGCAGGGGCGTCTGATGGCAGGATGTCCTATGGCTGGGCATCCAATGGCAGAAAGTTCGATGTCTAGGCATCCAATGGCAGAGCATCTGATGGCAGGACACCTGAAGGCAGGGTGTCCATGTGTCTCCCAGTGTCTGTGGGAGGCCAGGAGCCTGACTTCCACCAGCGCCAGTTCAGTCTCCCAGGTACACTTACTCTCTGTTCTCAGTTTTTGTCACGTGCACCCCCCTGACTCTGTTGAGCCCTCATTCGTCCCTCTTGCTCCTTCATTCTCCCTTTAAAACAAGCATCCCGGGGGATCCCTGTGTGGCTCAGCGGTTTAGCGCCTGCCTTTGGCCCAGGGTGTGATCCTGGAGACCCTGCATGGAGCCTGCTTCTCCCTCTGCCTGTGTCTCTGCCTCTTTCTCTATCAAAAAAAATAAAAATAAAAATAAAAATACCCCTGCCCCACCTCAGGGCAAATCAAAGAGCTGGATTGTTGTTTCCCGCTGCCATAGCCTATTACTGTTGCAAACTTAGTGTCCAGCTTCGTTCATCTTTGACCTAAACGGGGTGGAGTGGGCTTTGTAATCAAATAATCATGAAAATGAGCCTTATGGTGCAGAAACCTTAAAGACATATTGGACTCTGCTGGTCACTGGGGTGAGGCTTCCTGTCTTCATGATGCTCTAGACCTTGTATCTGTCCTCTTCCCTTAGAAATGCTGTGGTAAAAAATTTGGAAAGAACTCTAGTTAGACCAGACCACAGAGTGCGTTCCGGGCCCAGGGATGAGCAGGAATGATAATAACTAGTCAACTTAAGGGGAAGGCTAGGGACAGTTCCTAACCACAATAGGGCAAAGAGGAACTTAAGTGTGAATGGAGTGCGTTTGTAGAAAAATGTCCTTACAGTCATTGGACTGCCCAGCTGTGGTAACGGCTTCAGTATATCAGATCCAACCAAAAATATGCCACACTTGTGGGTCTTAGGAAGGAAGCCAAACATCAGAAAGATGCCCAGCTACATTGAATCCATCCTGAAGTGAGCATAGAGGTTGCCTGTACCTTTACTGCTAATTTGATTCCCAAGTGTCAGACTGGTTTCTTGGCTACATTTGAAGCCTGGAACTTTTAGAAAACACCAGTTAAGTTTCACTGAATAGAATCTTTTTAGTTTTTGAGAGGATAAAACCATTAGAGTCAGTTCATGCAGTAGCACGCTTTAGGTGTGCCTGTCATACTAGGTGGTATGGGCAAGACGAAGAAATGGCCCCTGACCTCAAGCAGCTTGGATCTAGTTATGCAGACAGAACATGTATTCATTAAAAAGTTAAAGAGCAAATCATGATGGTGTATTATTAAGTTCTGCCATAAGTGGTACGGCCCATACGGTGTTCTTAGCTGGAGACTGGTAGCATGCTGCCAGCTTTCTGAAGTTTCCCTGACATGTACCCAAACACCCTGTGATGACTCCTTTGCCCTAGCACTTCTCATGCTCTCTATTTTAATTGACTTTGCCCCAAGATGTAGCAAATAATAATGCAGACCCAGTTAAGTTTGAATTTCAGACAAGCAAAAGATACATTTTTAGTATGTCTACTACAGTATTTGGGACATACACTAAAAAATCCATGTTTTTTGATATTCAAATTTAACTTGGTATTCTTATTTTTATCTGGAACCCTTACCTTGGGGGCAGGGATCATGTCTACTAATTTTCACATCCCTGGTGTTTAGCACTGGCGTTGATAAAAACAGTCGGAATATGTAGACTAATAGATGAATGTCCTAGGTACAGCATTATACATTCTAGATTTTCTGGGCGGCTCTCATTTTTAATTTGTTGAAAGGTCATGCACTTTGATTTTTAATTTGGAAAATACTACGTCTGTTACTAGGGAGCAGTGTTTTTTTTTTCTTTTTTCTTTTTTAAAGATTTTATTTACTCATTTGACAGACCAAGAGAAAGAGAGCACAAGCAAGGGGAGTGGCAGGTAGAGGGAGAGGGAGAAGCAGACTTCCCACTGAGCAGGGAGCCTTATGCGGAACTTGATCCCAGGACCCTGGGATCATGACCTGAGCTGAAGGCAGATGCTTAACTGACTGAGCCACCCAGACACCTCTGGAGCAGTGTTCTCTAAAATGTGGAACAGGAGTGATCATTTGTGGCCCCTCTGGGACGCCCCTCTACCTTTGTCTAGTTTCAGGCGCGAGTGCTCCAGCCACAGCTGACTAGCACATCCCCCTACTCCACATACTTCTACAAAAACCAGCACTTTCCAAGACATGATGTAAAAATGGGTTCTTTTCCTTGGCAGCACGGGAGGCTTTTGCTCAGCATCAAATTTCCCTCCAAGGCATGGAGACACGGAACTGAGAATGACCTAAAGTACTGTAAAAGTCAGTACAAAATCCTTTGTCATCAAGTTGTGGGGACTGTGTTGTCACTTCGCTTCTCTGTTGAACACAACATGAATGTGTGAAAAGCAGGATGCTTACAGTGTAAGGGTAAAGATGATGAGCAATAGTGTGATTGTTATATAGACCTAGAACTGATGCGGGAAACAAAGGCAAAGGAAATGTAGCTTAAATTAAAATCTCCTTACAGCTTGCAGCCCACTGATAGATCCCTGAATTGTGCAGAGTGTGGAAGCCACTAAGGCAGCCTTCATGTTGAGAAAGAACCTTATCTTGGCAGCAACTGGCCCCCCCAAAGTCCTGAAAGCCTTGCTTCCAGATTCCTTGGAGACTTGCACTAGCCCTAACTCCCACCATTAAAAAGTATACAAGGAGTCACTTCTCACAATCCCAGTAAAGCTCTTTCTGCCCACAGGTTCCTGTCCCGTGAGCAGCAAAGGGATGAAGGGATAAGCAGAAGAGATAGAGGCCCCTGACTCCCCTCACTAGGCTCCAAAAGTCTTCCTGGCAGGTAGAGACTCTGAGAAAAAGCAGAACAAGAGATAAGGGGACAAACCAACACAGCACAAGAATCTCAAGGCCACAAGCTTCCAAGTCAGTTCTCACTAAGACTGCCACTAGACGCCCTCAGTAGCAACCCATTTGGGACCCTTCTCACTCTTTTCTCTTTTTCTCTTCTCACTTTTTTCTTTCCTTTCTGTTCTCCCCTTCACTTAGTAAACTTTCACTTAAATTCACCCTTTTGTGTCCTTGAGATGCATTCTTTGACCCTATGGAACAAGAACCCTGCAATCCTGCGACAAAACAGCACTCTTCTTTTCTCATGGGTCATTAAAAGCTCTAGTTTTCTGAGTAACTTATTTTTAGGTGTTCGTTTTTGAAGCTTAATTCGGCTGATTTTTACTTACATTTAATTGTTTTTAATTATTTTAATTGAATGACTTGTTTTCATTGTATTTTTAGTTATTTCTGTTAGAGCAAGTGATACTTATGAAATTTGCTTTTTAAAAAATGAAAGTTAAAAATGAGTCAATGTAAAGAAAACCTAATTAGTAAATGATAGGACAAATATGAATAAGTGGAGTTTCCCAAACAGTCATTTCTCCCATCTTTAAAATACTCCTTTGGCTTTTGTCCCATTTCTCAGCTTCCCTTATGGTAAAATGTCTTGACAGAATTGTCTGGGAGGATAGAAAAGAATTGTTTTTCTCAAACTCTTCCATTCACTGTTGTGTATTTTTTAAGTGAGAAATAACTTATGCAGAAAGATCCACAAATGCTAAGCCGATTATCCCCAAAATGAAGGTAGCATGTTACCCCCCTTTCTGCCCCCCCCAAAAGACCTCATTCCCCCTTTCCAGTAACAAACATCTCTGTCCTCCTCAAAAGTTACTACAGTCTGTCTTCTAACTGCCTGTCTTAGTTTTGCCTTATTTGTAAAGTTTATGTAACTAGAGGCACACAGTTTTTATTCTTTAGCATTTGGCCTCTTTTACCTTACATTGTAAGACATCTATATTTTTGAGGGAACCTATAGTTTTTTTTTTCTCTGTCATTTTTAAGTATGATTCAGTTATGGAAATACAATTCATTCATTCTGTTATTGGTAGATATCTGAGTTGTTTCCAGGTTTGGGCTATTATTACTGCTTCTGTGAATATTCTTGTGACTTCATGTGCATGTGACTTCAGTTCCTATTACTCTTACTTTTGCTTATCTATTTTAGCCACACTAGTGTCCTTACCATTCCTTGAACAGTTACTACCATTGCTCTTGTTTATCTATCCATTTTTCATCTGAGTATAGTTGACACACAATATAGTGATTTAGTTGCTTACTCTGTTTCAGCTATAGTAGCGTCCTTGCTATTTCTTAAACATTCCAAGTAATGCCGACCTCCAGGCTTGTATGTGCTGTTTCTTCTTCCTAGAATGCTCTTCCACTAGATATTCACATGGCTCACTCCATCACTTTTCTCAGGTCTTTGCTGTTAGGGCGCCTCTCAGCAAGGTATTCTCTAACCACTCTACCGACATTAAAATTAAATTTTTATCCCCACCCAGGGATACTCAATTTTTTCTCCTTGGTTTATTTTCTCCACATTACTTATTATAATTTGACATACAGAAGCATTTTAGTTATTTGATTATTTCTCACCCTACTACAATGAAATCTCTACAGGGGCAGAGATTTTTTTTTTTTTAATTTTCTAGAACACAGCTTGACACATAGTAGACTCCCAATTAATAATGATTGAATAAATGAGTGAGTAAATATAATTAGCTACTAGCCTGAATGTAGAATGGTCACTGACATTTTTTGAGCTTTGGATAATATATCTATTTACAAAGCTCTTTTATAGTCAAATTGAACAATCAAAATGTTATCAACACAAGTATTATTTGAACTACCTAGGACATAGGATGCAGAAGGAATAATGTTGGTTTTCATTCCCTACTATGGAGAAAAAATATTTTAAACAGCCTCCCTTTTTTCCTTTACAAAAAAACTCCAAAAAACTATGTAGCGCATTTATAGAAAATGACAATTCTAAAATTAATATCTCTGGCTCCAGCATAGCATTTTAGAGAAGCTAGCATAGATATTTGGCAAAGCTCTCTTTTGAAATTGGAATTGAAATTTGGAATAAGCATGATCTACCTCTTATAAATTCATATAAAGAATAATAGTCTTACTATGAGAGTTCGAATTACAACATTTAGGAAGCACCTCTTGTATCGAGTTTCTTGTATGTTTCACCTGCTTATCTTGTTTAAATACTCATCACAATATTATGAGGTTGGTAAATTTATGATCCTATGTTACAGATAAGACAGCTGAACTACCAAGGGATCTGAATCCCCTCATCACCATGGCTTAAATGTGGAACTTATGCTTTGACCCACTACCTTTAGATGGCCACTATAGATGTTTATCCACATGGACACAGACATCACATTAATGTTCAAAGGTATCCATTTACTGATTTCACTTCAGAATTATTTTAATTTCTTCTTTCTCTTTAGTTGATTTGGGAAGAATAAAGGAAAGGAACAACTTTTATTTAGAATATACTGTGTTTTGCATGTGTTACTTCATTTAGTTCTCAAAATAGCTCTGAAAGATAATAATTATTGCCCCATTTACAGAAGAGAAAACTTAAGCACAGAGAAGAAGATATGCTCATCCTAGTCCTAATGCTATTATGTAAATCAAATGTGTATCAAACCAGGTCTCTAAAACCCCATACTCCTTACCATGACATATGGGGAGCAGAACAGGTGTTACCCACTGAACAGTGGATACCCAGGAGAGGGGGAGCTATGCCTAGTTCCCACTGGGAACAGGCAGTAATGGGGCTATGGAATCAGAAAGACAGGAGAGACACTCCTGTCTTTCCCATTTCTGGATCCAAGATGCCTTGTTCTCACTCTGGCCCTCTGGTCTACCCTGCTGGGTCAGTGTTAGGTGATGGGTTGGCGGGGCCCTGTGATCACAGCAGCGCAAACTCTCCATTCTCAGAGAAGGTCTTTAATTAGTCACAAGTCTGGGCTCAGTGGTTCAGACTGAGGAAGCTCCTCTTCCTGCTGTTGGAGCAGCAAGCACACCCACCTCCAGTGATTCTCAGTGTTACCATGACTTCTTCGGGGGCCCAAGGTTACTTACTCATCTCAAAGCTTCAGTTCTTTGTTTTTGTTTTTTAATTAGAAAAACAAAGGTGAGAGAATGTGAACCCCTTTTCTGGTGAGCTTGGGATCAGTCATGCCTATGGCATAAAATATATATGGCTTTGACTTTAGTGGGAAGGTGTGACTTGCAATAGAATAGGATACCAGAATAATAGTTGAAGGTGGTAAGCTGATGGAGGACACTCTTTCACCAGATAGCTAGAAGGGACACTACCATTGAAAAACTCAGTGAAATACAACCTGGAACAAGAAGCGGACGTCAATACATCAATAGAGTGAGAAAAACAACCAGTAAGAGCCTGCTTAGTGAGGAGAAATACAAGATGGAGAGGCTGAGCTTGAACAAAGGAGTCACATTGATTATGACTCGACATATGATTATGAGGCGACTGAGTAGTCCTTGTGTTGAGAGAGCCAGATTGTGCATGGAGCAGCTGCTCTCAGAATGAAAGAATAATGAATTCGTGTCCACTTATTAGTCTTTCAGCCTCCAGGGCACTTACTCAGCCAGCAGTTCTATTTTCAGAAGCAGAAGATAAACACGTACTTTAATCTCACCATTTAAAATCTAATAAATATTTTTACCAAACATCTGTGGC